TATTTTTCATTTGTTCTTATTCTCCCTCAATTTAGCATCATCTGCAAAGTTGGAAATTATGTTTTCATATCGTAATTAGGGCTCAAAGAACCTCAGAGAAACTGCTAAGTGAATACACATCCCTTTCCTTTTTGTTTTGTTAGTGAATTTGAAAGTGAAAAAATAAATTAGGGCTGAAGGAAAAAATAGAGTTAAATATTTTCTGGTATTAAAAACAAAGTAACAAAGCAGAGCAACATAGGAAGAAAAGCTTTTAGCACTACAATGCAGAAGCCATATTATCAAAGAGAAGCCATTGGTACTTCTGTTCTTTGCTAGGGAGAATCATCTACGATGATCCATTCTGTGCTTTAGAAGATGCCTAAGATGATACAATGTTGTGACTTGCACAAAGATTTTCCTTCAAAAAAATCACAAGGTTTATTTTTTTATAAGATAACAATTTGGTTGAAATAGAATGACAGTGGGTCAGGCAGACAGATTTGGTCACCACTTGAAAAATTTAGATGTACAAGACTGAAGGAAGAAGCATAGTAACAGGGGGTCTTTGAAAGAAGATTTGGAAAATTCTTAGTTATGTCTCCTGTAAAGCATTAACCCCTGGGAACAGCCTCTCTCAAACACCATTTAGAATCTTTATCATCCAGGTTTCTTTCCATGCTGTACTAAACTAACTTCATCTGGATTGAAGCCACCTAGATTTTTTTTTTATGGACTTAGCCCATTCTTTTAAGATTAAGCCTTTTGTAAGCCTATCTATATCCCTGTGTTGCAAGATTTTAATTGGTAACTTTGGATACTTTGTCTATTATTCATTGAGACCATTGTATGTACATTTATGCTATATAATAAATTACTTCAAATTCTCAATTATAGGATGATATATTGGTTATAACATACTAGGTTGTGGTTTTGTAAAAAAAAAAAAAAAACAATCCCCAAATATCTACAATTTCAAATAAGGGTCCTTATTTTTTGCTTACCTTGTTTATCTATTGGGATTGTCTGCAGAAGAATATACTGATTATCTTTTGTTGCTGACCTATTCTTATGAGGAATTCTACATATCTCCTTCCATAACTTTAAAAGGAGGGAAAAATAAAATAGAGATTCATGCTTTTCTCCAAAAGTTTCTATCCATAAGGGATATTACTTCTGTTGTCATGAAATTTTAATAGCCAAAGAAATTCTCATGATCTTCCTCCAGTTTAATAAACTGAACAACTTTTTTTCTAAAGGTATGGGGTATGAACATCAGTACAAAGTAATGTTCCAAGTGATGCTTTTTTTCTTTGTATCCTTTGGTAGAATAGCAAGAATCTCTCTATATAATGCCCACCAAAAAGACCAAAATACAGCTAGTCAGTCAANTATGGTTAGGGTTATTCATGTGGAGATCAGAGCACAATATCCTTCAGGAATACCATCTACCTTCTTTGGAACATGGTCTTTCATTGCCCTGGAGCCCTTCCATGAAGTAGTAAACTGCACTGATCAGCCTGTCTCTGCCTTCCAAACCTATAAGCATGCACTTGGCGTTTTGACTCAGGTTTCCATGCCTGTCTAGAAGCCTTTTACTTTCTGAGCTATTTTTCTATTCCTCAGTGTTTTTGTTTAAGACTTGAGTCTTCAGCAGAAATCTTCCAGGTACTTCTTCCTTCATGCTATTATGTTATAATTCTGTTCTGAACCATGCTTCAGTTTTGTGCAATATGAAAGAGATCAACAGAGGGAAAGCATTTTGTGTAAACACACACACACACACTACATGTATACATACATAAAAGTCAATAAAGTTAGAATTTATTCTTCCTCTTTTTTCTTTTCTTTTGTTTTTTTTTTAATTAACAATTTCCATCTCCACCCATTTCCTCCCTCCCCCCACTCCCTTTCCCTCTCCCTCTCCAGTCCAAAGAGCAGTCAGGGTTCCCTGCCCTGTGGGAAGTCCAAAGTTCTCCCTCCTCCATCTAGGTCTAGGAAGGTGAGCATCCAAACAGACTAGGCTCCCACACAGCCAGAACATGAAGTAGAATCAAAACCCAGTGCCATTGCCCTTGGCTTCTTAGTCAGCCCTCTTTGTCAGCCACGTTCAGAGAGTCCGGTTTGATCACATGCTCCATCAATCCCAGTCCAGCTGGCCTTGGTGAGCTCCCATTAGATCAGCCCTGCTGTCTCAGTGGGTGGGCGCACCCCTCGCGGTCCTGACTTCCTTGTACATGTTCTCTCTCCTGCTCCTCATTTGGACCTTGGGGGATCAGTCCAGTGCTCCAATGTGGGTCTCTGTCTCTATCTCCATCCAAACTCCTACAGCTGATAAATACCTTCAGTGATGTGGCAGGTTACAAGATCAACTCAAAAAAATCAGTAGTCCTCCAATACACAAAGAATAGAGAAGCAGAGAGGGAAATCAGAGAAAAATCACCTGTTACAATAGCCACAAATAGCATAAAGTATCTTGGGGTAACTCTAACCAAGGAAGTGAAAGATCTATTTGACAAGAACTTTAAGGTATTGAAGAAAGAAATTGAAGAGGACACCAGAAAATGGAAGGATCTCCCTTGCTCTTGGATTGGGAGGATCAACATAGTAAAAATGGCAATTCTACCAAAGGCAATCTATAAATTCAACGCAATCCCCATTAAAATCCCAACAAAATTTTTCCTCTTTTTTAAGGAATTAAACATAGCATACCAAAAACTTAGGAAACAAAAGCAAAAATAAACAAGTAAAATGTTATCAACCAAAAGAGCTTTTGCAGAATAAAGAATTTATAGCAAAAATGATACACTACAGTTTGAAGAAAGTATTTTAAATTCATATACCATAAAAGAGTTTAGTGTCCAAATTATACAAGAAACTCACAAAATTCTGTAGAAAAATTAAAAAGTACAACTTAATATTGGCAAATGACGTGAATACATGTCTCCAAAATGCATAAAAATAGCCAACAAGTATATTAAAATTGCTTAACATCATTAATCAAGGAGATGCAAATTAAATCCTAAATGTGATTCAGTCTCACGCCTGCTAGAAAACTACTATAAAAAGAAATAAAAAACAATAACCCACAGAAAAATGATGAGGTAAGTTGAAGATGTGTGTAGAACTGGGAATCAGTGTGACCGGTGTACACTGCTATGGGCACATAGGTTGGCATACTGTTTGTGGAAAGCAATATAAATGTTCCTAAATTGATTAAAATATGAGTTCATTTACATACCCAGAAAACTGTCTTCTTTTCATTTTCAAAAAGGAAATGAAATCATCATCTCCTGAAGTCATATATTGCTAAGGAGGTTCTGCCATTTACAATAACATGGATGAAACTAGGCACGATATTGAGTGAAGTCAACCAGAAAAAGAAGCAAATCCTATGCGATCTCAATCTAGCAAAACAGAAATCAAATATATAGAATTGTAGTTGCAACATTCACATTGGGAGATCTGAATATAGAAAAGGAAAAGACATAGGTTAAAGGACACAAAGCTATATTCCTGTGAGTGCCTAAGTATAGAGGTCTAGGGTACAGCACAAGGACTTTATTTAATAATAATGTGTGATGTATTGGAAATGTGCCAAGATAATAGTTTTTAAATACTCTTGCTACAAAAGGACGAAAGGAGGTAACTCTATAAGATGTGTTGATATGCTTAGTTGTAGTAATTACATATATATATAATACTGTATTGAACATTGTATACTAGAATTTTAATTTTAATAAAATGAACAATTATATTAGTTTACTTTTGAGCATTACTATATTGAATGTATTTTAGTAATGTAAAACTAAAACACTTGACATTTTTTTTCCTATAACTCTAAATCCCTGGTACTTTGTGTATGTGCTTTTGTGTAGTAAGCCTGGCCATTTATTTTACCACTACCAGATTGGCAGCCAATAGGACTCTTTTTCAGAGAACAAGATTGTTGAAAGGAAATGGGGGAAACATGGAGAATTTTCAAATCATTTTTAGAAACTCACAAACTAAAACTTAAATAGTAGTAGACAAGGCTTATGTTCTCTTTGAACTGAAATTGCCTTTAATCAATAGTATAAACAAATGGAAGAAAGAGCACATGAGTGCCGTGCACCGCGGCCCCGGTCTGCGCTCTATGCGCTAGACCCCAGTTCGCGAGCTTCGGGCAAGGGGCTGGAGGTTGAGAATACACGCACAGAGACAGACCGACACACAGACCTTTAAACATTGATACCAAAGCCCCTCTTTATTAACACCATGTAGACTTAAATACACTGCAGTCAATGGTCAACAGGTAAAAATCCCATCCTCTGATCCTCTAAGCTAGGCACAGCTTCTAGTAACTTCAATTAGAAGGTTCTAGGAGGGAAAAGCAGCTGAAGGCCAGGACTCATTAGTCCCAACATCTCCACCCCTATTTTTTTTTTTTTATAAAACAGAAGACCCTCCTGTCTTAGGCCATCTCAGAAGAGTAAACCCTTACCCCTCTTTGGAAGGCCCTCTTTTGTAGAAGTTACCTGTCTACGGAGGAGTCATCATAGTTTGTGCAGTATTGCAACCAAAGCTAGAGTATGTTCAAGTTACTAGCCAAAAGGATCAGAAGGATTTGCTAAGTGACCATATGCTGCATTCTCATGGGTTGTCTGATCTTACACAGAATTCATAAATGAATGCCCATAGCAACAGACATTAAGATTGCCAGCAAGAGGGTCCCCAATCACCACTGGACACAGCCTCTCATTTGGGTTATGGTATTCTACCAACCCTTTGACTAACACAGTTACAATCTGGTGAGCTAATTGTAACATTTCAAGGGCCATTCAAGTAATCATTGAGTTGTTTCACCACATAAGAGGCATTAGCAATATTAACAAATGTCATACAAATCGAATGATAAAAGTGTGAACAAGACATTTGTTGTACTTCCAGCCTTGGCTGCAAAGCTTGGTCTGCTGACGGGGCTGGGTTTAAACTGCGTGTGCAGGTTGACTTGTACAGTAAGTGCCTGGGCATTGCAGTAAATGGCTAGGGACCTGATCCGGCCAGCACTGCCGCCAGGCTTCAAGGTGCACGCAACAGCTGAGGATGAGGAGCAGGACCCGAGCCAGGTTGCAGGGCCAGCTCTGCCCCCTAACTACAGAAGCAGCATCTCAGACTCCTCAGACAGCGACGAGGACAGCAGTTCTTTGTCTGAAGAAGGAAATCGAGAGTCTGAAGAAGATGACAATGGTGCAACTGCCAGAAAACAGAGGCGAAATCAAGATAGAGATGACGACGATGATGGATTTTTTGGACCAGCCCTTCCGCCTGGATTTAAGAGGCAGGATGACTCTCCTCCAAGGCCTATCATAGGTCCTGCCTTGCCACCTGGTTTCATTAAGTCTTCACAGAAAAGTGACAAGTCAGAGAGGATCCAAGACAAGTGTCGTCATCTTAGACACTAATAACCATTAAAGGCATGGTCAACTCAGAGGAAGCAGAGAGCAGTGAGGATGAGGATATTGTTGGACCAATGCCTGCAAAAGGACCAGTTAACTATAACGTGACAACAGAGTTTGAAAAAAAGGGCCCAGAGAATGAAGGAAAAATTGACCAAAGGAGATAATGATTCCTGAAACCAATCACAAGAGAGTCTGGATAAGGGACTGCCCATGCAAGGTTTTTATCTGCCACCACAGGCTCAGGGCAGAATGAGGACCAACATGTTAGAACTACTATCTCCCATGGCTTGCATAGACTTGGCCTTCAGCTGCCTGTGATCATAAACAACAGCTTTGGCCATCGAAAGTGTGTATCACTGAGCTGGCTGCTGCTTTTTGTCTTTTGGAGGGAAGGCATAAATACAGTAGCATGGTCTTAAAAGTCTATGCTATGAAGTAAAAAATGGATGCATGCATTTCTCAAAAAATGCCAAGAATTCCATCTCTGAAACACAGGAAATATAAATACTCATATATGCATAATTTTAAAAATATCCTGCCCCCAAACTTATCCAAGCTTTTGCATTTAATCATGATTTAGGCAGTTTTGTTTTGTTTTTTTTTTTTTTAAATTTATTTATTTATTTATTAAACACTTCTGTCTCTTCCCCACCGCCGCCTCCCCTTTCCCTCCCCCTCCCCCAACCAAGTCCCCCTCCCTCGTCAGCCCAAAAAGCAATCAGTGTTTTGTTTTTAACCTACTCTATGTAAGACTCTTTAAGACTGAAACAAAGAGACTAGACTTTTTTAAAAAATATGTTATTTACCAAGAATTTTATACCGATATTCTAGAGTTAATCTAGTTTCCAATAATTACCAAACACTTGACCATGCACATAAAAACACAAAACTTTTAAATTGAAAAACACCTTGACATTCATGTGATCCAATGTATCCACTCTACTCTTAGGGAATGAAAGCTCAGGTAGTGAAAATACTCGGCAAGCGTTATTGATTTTTAGAATAGGAGAGTCAGAATTCTTGACTTTTTGATGTTTTACAAAAACAACACTAGACAATCATCTTCAAATACGTATTTACTTTAGAAGATGTCCTTGAAGACTCTTGAGATATAATTCTTACACTAGCTTAATATTACGAAGTTTAGAAGCAGAGAGCATAATGACCCTTAAGTGACTCCCAATGTGTATTAGTTGAAGACGCAACTACATCCAGAGTTAAGCAAATGGAGTAGATTTCAGGTCCGTCATAGAGCACGTGTTTAGCATTGCTGTGAAGGGACATCATGACCAGGGTAACTCTTATAAAGAGAACATTTAATTAGGGTGACTTACTTATGGTTTCAGAGGTCCAGTCCATTACCATCATTATGGGGAACATGGAAGCATGCCAGCAGACGTGATGCTAGAGAAATAGCCAACCGTCCTACATCTTGCAGGGAACAAGAAGTCAACTGACTGTCACACTGAGGCAAGCTTGAGCAAAAGAGACCTCAAAGCCCACTCTCCACAGAGAGACACTTTCTCCAACAAAGCCACACGTCCTAATAGTGCTCCCCCCTTTGGGGGCCATTTTCTTTCAAACCACCACAGCATATATGAGGCTCTGAGTTCTATCCATATTACCAAACACAAAAACATAAGTAAGAAGCAAGGTAAGTGAAAAGAAAGTTAAGCTGCCATTTGTAAAGTAATGCCACAAATGTGTTTCCAAAGCTTTTTTAAAGTGCATATTGTATATTATGGGGATATGGAAAAGCCGCGAGTGAATGTATACAAGGCAAATGAAGTCCTGAGTTTAAAAAACTGTACTGTTAGGCGTGGGCATGGCTATGACCAGGACTAATGTTTCAGACACATGGAAACTTGGTAAAAACCTTACCCAAAGTGAAGCATAGAGGATGACAAAGCCTTCCTCTCACCTAAGTGCAAATGTTGACAGTATATACGAGTACGAGTGTTTATGAAGCATGGAGCAGTTATAAAAAATCTAGCAACTTCAGCTTCCTCCTGGGAATTTTCAGTCTGAGACTGCTCTCTACTATAGAGACTAGCTTGCCGCTCACCCAGTGCTGTCCATAATAAATATGCTTAGGTTCTGGGTTGCTACATAGTTAGTGCTACTCCATCAGAGTGCACACAAACCACCTGATCGCAGGTTTTCCGTACATGTGTCTGTGGGACTGTCCTTCCCTCTTTCCTCACTGTCCCAGGCAGGTTTCTACTACTAAGCCAAGCATAATGCTGCAGCATATGATTCACCTCTTCAAAGCAGAAAACATTATTTATAGTGGGTTTATAGTTATGAAGTCATTGCCATAATCTAATTTTAGAACATTTTCATAGCCTACATAGGAACATTTTACGCATTAGCAGTCACTCCTCATTCCCTGTTTTTCCAGTACTAATGACTTCAACCATTAATCTACTTTTTTATCTCTACACATTTGTCTATTCTGTCATAGATAACTGAATGAGGATCTGTGGGTGAGTGTGAATGTGTGTGTATGTGGAGGATATTCAAAGCTACTTCCTTTTAGGCTATTGAACTAGGGATAGTAGGGAAGAGTGAAATACTACATTATCAATCAAATGCCATCCTAGAATATGTGGCTCTAGAGCCAGGCAAAAAAGACACTCAAACTACCAAAGACAATTAAGGTAAGGGTCATTGTACATGTACACATAGTGAAGGAGCCTTAGAGGTACCTGGGAGAGGGTAAAGAATTGGCTTTAGAAAGATTAGTATAGGAATAAAAGTAAAAGTAGATATTGAGATAACTGAAGTAGCAGGAACCTAAAAGTGTTAGTAAAGACCTAAAAGATAAAAAAAGAAAATCACTTTGGAAGAGAAAATTTGTTTTAATATTCATCTTCCTTTATTGAAGGTCTTTGTAGAAGTACTTTACTTTAAAATGATCTTTAATCCTTAGGGTTCTGTACAGTATAGCACCAGTAATTAAGAACACTGTTTTGTAGTCTTGATGTTTTTTTTTTCAACTTAAGGAAGAGTTTATCTCTGATTATGGTTCAAGGGTTATGGTAGTTTGAACAAGAATAACCCTAGTCAGCTGGCAGACATGTTTGGCTAAGGATTAGGAGGTGTAGCTTTATGGGAGGAGATATGTCACAGGGGATGATGGGCTTGAAGTTTCAAAAGACTCACACCAGCCCCCTCCTGCTTTGCCTGCTACTTGTGGATCAGATATGAGCTCTCAACTACTGCTTCAGTGCCATGCCTGCCTGCATGCTGTCATGCACCCCACCATGATGGACTCATCCTCTGAAACTGTAAGCAAGCCCACAATTAAATGCTTTCTTTTTTTTTAACCCAGGTATTTCAAAGGATAAATGCTTTCTTTTATGTTTCTTTTATAAGTCATGGTGTCTCTTCACAGCAATAGAAAAATAACTAAAACAAGGATAGTGTCCATTAATTGGTGGGAGGCACTTTGGGCATTTGGTCACAATTCATCCAGTCAGGAGGCAGACAGTGACAATGCTTCTTCCCAAATCACTTTCGCCATTTAATGTAGTTCAGGCCCCCAACCTATAGAGTGGTACTGCATCCAATTAGGGTAAGCCTTCCCACATCAACTAAAGAACCTCTCACAACCAAGCCCAGAAGCATGTCTCTTAGGTAGTTCTAGATTTTATCAAGTTGATAACATTAATCACACATGGTTTATACTGTGCTGGTGAGTTGAACCGAGGGCTTCATGCTTGCTAGAAAAGCACTGTAACAACTGAGCTCATGCCAAGGTTCCCTGTTGAGAATCTTTTTATCAAGCTTAGTGGGGATACTATGGCTGTTATTTAATAAAATATAATGGTTTATAAATGGGTCATCTTTCAAAGGCACAGAAGGAATCACAGTGATATTTTTCTCACTCTGTTTCCCAGTTACTTATTTCATATCTTTAAAGATCACCACTATTGACAGAAGTTTCCGTACTGCATAGTCCCAAAGTCATTCAGTCCCAAGTAAACACACAGGGATTTATACTATAAATTGTTTGATCTATTGTTCATGCTAGTTTTAATGCCTCTTACATCTTAAATTAGCCCATAGTCATTATGTATGTTTAGCCATGTGGCTTGATATCTTTTCTCAGCAAGGCATTCTTATCTTACTTCCTCTGCATCTGGCTGATGACTATGTCTCTGCCTTTCTGGCTACTGGCTAATCATCATTTTATTAAACTAATATGAGTGACAAATATTTACTGTGTTCAAGAGCATTCTGCCACAGCATTTCTCTGTTTTTTTTTTTTTTCAAAATAAGAACTCTGAATCTAATCTCCTTTGTTTAGCTTTTTTCCTAACCATTATCCATAAAACTTGTAAGCAATACTCAAAACAAAGACAAACATCCATAATCCATTTTTGGACATAGATTTTTAGGCTACTTCCTGCTAATTAGGAGTGCTGATAATTTTATGGGGATTCAAAGAAAACTTATGATTATCCAAGTCCTGACTAGAGTATTCCATGAGGCTGAATTACCTCAGCCAGCAGTCTTAAAGCTGTTCTAGATATAGAACTCAGAGAAAACTGCAACAAAGATGCTCTAAAACATTGGATCATCTATGTCATCTGTTTCTATTGGTGATTTTTTTTGGGGGGGAGGTTCTTCCTTGATCAAACCTTATTTTTCTAAGCCAGAATGAATCCACAACCTCTTATTTCCCATGGAAGCAAAATCAGAACCTCTTCTCCAAAGTAAAGTATTTTTTGACTTAAATTTTGAAGTCAAAGCATTTTCAAAATATATAGGTTGGATTAATCCAACAGCATTCATAATCAAATGTCTTTTAGCAGCTGTTACTCCTCCCTCAGCAGTCAAACAATTCAAAGATAACACAATAACATACAGTCTCCAGATTCTGTGTGTATTTTCCATCTTTATATGCATTTTTAAGAATATATTTCTTTTATTTTTGTTTCTTGATTTTTGGTTTTTTTGAGGCAGGGTTTTTTCTGTGTATCTTTGACTGTCTTAGAACTCATTCTGTAGAATAGGCTGGCCTTGAACTCATAGAAATCTGCCTTTCTCTGCCTTCCAACAATTAAAACTAATTAAGACTAATATTTTTAAAAAGGCAAAAAGCTAAACAAAAGAAATTATATTCAAGGTTCTTCTTTTGAAAAGAAAAAAATGGGATATTAGTTATG